GTCCGTGAGGGCCTTTTGGGTAGGCCTACTATGCTCCGAGGAATACAGCAACCTCAAGAAAGTCGCACTTTACATGCTGACAATGTTCCCTTCCACCTACGTATGTGAGTCGTCCTTCTCAGCTATGAATGCAATAAAAACGCATGAGAGGAATAGACTGACTCACCAAAATCTCGAGAACTGCCTGAGGATTAAAGTGACATCTATTTCACCAGATATCCAGCAAATAGTGACCAGTGGGAGATGCCACTTTTCACACTAGGTGAGTAATCTAAACCAGTAATTGTGTCTAAAATCTGAACTGTATTTTTTAATGAATGTCTCGTTGTAGGCTAGGCATAATTCAGGCAGTAAATGTAGCACGTCTGCTCTGTCGTTTCAGGGGCCGAGCACTCCAGCCCATGGTCGAGTGGATTCGGCTTTTTTGCTTCGTACTTTTTGCTCTGATTTGCTCCGATTTAACAGTGCAATGCATTGTTATCAGTTTACATTTTTGGTGCCACCACAGTCATATAAAGGCCTAAATAACACGCACGTTTGAAACTCGTGTTTTACTTTTCACAGTTCTATGTACGGAAATGCCTATGTTTGATGTCTGGCCTGTTTGAAAGAAGTCGTGTTTTAATTTTCACAATAATATGAAGCCTATGTCCGTTGTTTGAATGACAACTTGTGTTTTAGGGACTAGTTTGGAATTTCAGCACCAGGCGCTGTCCACTAACTTCATTTGTTTTTGCATGTTGAGCGTTCACGCTGCACCTCGCTGATGTGCGTATTCACTCTCGTCTCCAGATAAAACAAATAAGCATTTAGATTGAAGACATTTTTCTGTTCTGGAAAATGAAGGTTCCAATAAAGAGCATTTTTGAGACTGGCAGTCCGATTTTTTTAAAAGTATATTTTATATTTTTATTATCATTCTCTAGTTCAAACAATCTCATGGGCCAGATGTTTTTGCTTGCGGGCCACATCTGGCCCGCGGGCCGCCTATTGCCGACCTATGCACTACAGTATCTGCACAAACTGTAATGTAGAAAAGCCTTTACACATACAAACCAGCAACATAAATAGTTGTAACAGTAGCTCATCGCTGTGGAAATTGGACACTCAGTATTACCTTGTTTTTTTTTTTCAGGTTCAGCTGGGTTTCTTCCTCCGAGTGAATGTCTGTTGTGTCACAGAGTTCATGCAGATATCTGTGCATGCTCCTCTGTGCATGCTCCTCTGTGCTTCCTCAAAAGTATCTACAAATACAGACTGCCTGTCAGGTACAGAGAAATTTGACATGAAAAGGTTGCTATAATATAATATTATAAATATATATAATATTTTATAAAAAAAAGGACTTAAAACAATTATTTTCAGCAGAACCTATGAGTTTCAATTTAACCTTGCCAATTTTATATTGTAGTACTTTGAGTTTTGTGTTGTGTGTGTTACAAATAAAATGTATTATTATTTTTATTATTATTAGAAACACCCACCACAGCTTATGAGGAGCCTGACTGGCTCGTAAGTGTGCCACTCCTGAGTAGGGTCATCCCTCCTCTTGACTGCAGCACGGATCTTGGCTGAATCCTTAGGGGGATATGGGGGCCATAAAACGGTCTCCCCTTTCACCCATGTATGGGGCACAATTTCTGTGCCACCACTACTGAACCGTATGACGCACTACTGCTTCATGTTTTTTATGGCTATAATAGAGCAGAAAATAATAATGAGTAAAATGTATTGCATGAACAAAGCAAAAGCAACTCATAAAAATGTGTGAAAAGGATAATGATTCTGACAGAATATGAACTGATTAATTCTTTTTTTTTTTTTTGTTATTTTTTTGGCCTCACAAACACACACACAGTTTATGAGAGTTAATGGGCTGCCTTGTTCTAGTTCTGGTTCAGAGCCTGGTAAAAAAGTATTAGTAAGGTTTGGAAATTTGTGTTACTTGTGCTTATTTATTTTTTATATTATATATTATATTTTATTATTTATTATTATTATTTAGTACTTGAATTTACTTGGATTGTTTTAATTTAAGCTATTTTGTAATTCATTTATTTTAATTTATTTTATTGATTGGATGCACTATAATTTGCCTGAAGATGATTACTTTGTATTTTTGTCTGTCTGATTGAATGCTTGTGTTAAAAAATAAATCAGACGTTACTCAACAGTTAAGTTACTCAGTACTTGAGTAGTTTTTTCACTAAGTACTTTTTTACTCTTACTCAAGTAATTATTTAGATGACTACTTTTTACTTTTACTTGAGTCATATTACTCTGAAATAACAGTACTTCACCAGAGTACAATTCTTGGCTACTCTACCCACCTCTGAAAATAAGAGAACAACTTCAACTTTCACTGTATTAATACTGAAAAGAGCGCTAATGCTAATCGCTAGCTACGCACTAATTGCTAGCTAATCGCTAGCTAAGTGCTAGCTTTGGTTAATGAGTTTGTGTTAATATTAAAATCATTCAGCTTCAAATAGTTTGCTTGTTAGCCACGGTTAGCAGCCAACCAGTCTAGTGTGTAGTTGTTGTTGTTATACGTCATCTAGCACGTGCTGGTAAACGTCCCATGCTGCGTTCATGTTGGCTCATTTTGAACAAACAAACTCAATAAGCTTTTTCCTGAACATTTACAATATGTTACTGTCCACATCTCACATTCTGTATTAAAACATCACAAAAATATTACTATTATCATCATTATTATTATTACTACAAATACAGATACTGTTACTTATTCACTTATCATTGTTATATATGTCCATGTCACTGTATCACACTTCACAAAACTATTTCCATGCACCAAGACATCTGAAAATGAAATGTTATTATGGATCACTTACAATTTCTACAAACCAAGAATCAAAAACTTTACCCAACACAACCTTTTAAATCATCAATATTTCAGTATATTCTAAATGGTGAAATCCACATAAAGAACCACATAAAGAACAAAAGTTGCCTTCACAATAAAAATCATTCAGTTCAGTTCAATATTGAGCAGTAAAGGTGTGTGTGTGTGTGAGAATGTGTTCAGAAGTTCAGTCTTTCTTAGCTAGTGAGATGACTGACACTGCAAGGAGTCAACAAGAGAGGTGTATGCTGGAGTATATCCACTTAAGTTCACTCTTATGGAGTCTATAAATGTTCATCTGTCAGTCTCGTTCTGAGCTTTGATTTCAGGAAATTCATGTCAGAAAAAGCTGACTCACAGAGGTATGTAGACCCAAACAAAGCAGACATTTTCAGAGCTGCTTGGTGAAGATTTTCATAGTTATCTGGCTCTACCAAGCTCCAGTAATGCTGTGAATGCTTCAACTGCACATTATTTTGAAGGTTTTATAACCTCCATTTCCATTTCCACAGAATCAACGTAGAAAATTCAGCCATCTGTTCGGAAATCTCACTTAATGTCCACATACATGAAAGGGTTGGCCATAAATGTCACACAGGGCTCAAGTTTCTCAAAGTCACTGAATCTGTCAGCAAACTCCTGTCCAAGCCTTGATAAGAGGTCACAATACTCTGCAGAGATCGTTACTAGTAAAATCTGACAAAGTCACATCAAGATGGGGAACTTTTGTTGCCCTAATGAGAGCATATCACATCTGACTGCTGTTGCTCGAGACATCTGCCCTTTCCCGGACTACAACCCGAGTCCTCTTTTCATCAACATGCTGTCCATCAACTCTTCAGCTCACCTGAGGAACCACTACACAGCAGTGCAGTCCTCACTGACTCCCAAGCAGCTGGAGGACTTCACCCAGGGCCTGAAGAGCACTTTTGGCAGGGAGGGCAAGGTCACTTTTGGTGGGGTGGGGGTAGTGGCCCTGTCCCTGGCTGTGCTGTTTGACACCCTTGCTAAACAGGCAAGAGAAGAGTGGATGTCAGAGTCAGAGCCCATTCCAGGTTTATTTTAGAAAGACCTGAGAGGGTACTACCCACCACATGTCTACACGGTCAGCAAGTACCTGAGGCTGGTACCCCACATTGCTAACAACCCCACCAGGATGAGAGAGGAGACAGCGAGGTAGGTACTGCACTGTGGATTTGTGTTCATGTGCCCTACAGAATAATACTATTGAATGTGTGTACTCATGTCAGCTTGATTTCAGTATCTGTTCATGTCACCAAGGTACATCAAGCAGTTAATAATTGATGACCAGTCTCTGGACAATCTGGGAGAAAACCACACCTTGCTGATAAAGGAAGACATCCCAACAGCCAATTTGGTTTTTAGTTAAATTTTTGCATTCAATTTGCAGCATCACCAAGTCCTTATCAAAACTGCAGAGGACGTTGAGTTGGTCAGACCTGATACGTTTGGCCGGGCTACAGCGCCAGATGATGTTATCTTTAATCTCAACTGTGATCCAGGGGCAACTGACAAAGACTTTTTAGCAGCAGTGCAAAAATCTGACGACGTCACCCAAGAAGCTTTTGATAATTACTTGTCATATATTCCAAAGAACTGGGTGCACCAGGTTGCTATGTTGGAATTGAGTAGGTCTGTGCTCCACTTCGCTTGTTCAGCGTTTGCTCAGAGAGAGGATTTTGACCTTAAGGCCAATGCACTTGGAAAATGGGCAGAGTAGTTCACTGGCCAGATTATAAATACAGTTGAAAAAAAATGGATATGAAGACATATCTGCCCATCGCCAGAGCCTTCAGGCCACAGGTGGTGGAGTCCCTGTATTACGGTAGATATACTGTACTGCTGTATTGTGAAAGGGTGACGGTACGTACAAGACGTACCACGCTCCCAGTGAGCGCTAGTAGTTGTTGTGTGTGAGCCATGCTGATGAGACAGCGGCACATCGGTCCGCACTTTATTGTTAACTGTTAAATAAATATGCCAAGAGCCTAAAGATAATTCGAGTGTGTTCTACTTATCCTCCATACGCAGTAGAGGACTGCGCGCTGCAGTAAATAACCCCTTAACACAAATAATCTGCAAATGAACGTGAACGTGAAAAATGGCGTACACTGAAAAAATGGAAGAAGGAGGGTTGTTCAATTTACAAGTATGCATTTTGTATATGCTACATAATTAATTTATATTTCTCTCCAAAACATGATTAAATCTTTAAAAAGCATTTCAATATTGAGGAATTTAAAACCTACATGTCTCCATCATTTGAAGAAGAAAGGAAAAAGTTATGTTTTATCAGCGAAAAGGCCGCCTCCAAGGGCGGGCTCCTGGACAGGAAACGGTTGCTGAAGACCTGCAGGCTCCGCCATTTTCTCCCTCGCTGTGATATTTTCTATGGATTTGGGCTTCTCAGGACACATAAAGGTAATAAAACTTGTCAAATATGAGCCAGTGTTAGAAGCAGCGTGTTTATAATCAAGATTTGAAAAGGTTTGGCTTTTTATTTGCCGGTAATGTCGAGTAAATCCAAGTCAGTCTTCATGCTAACGTTTGCGGTCATTCACTGGTTGCTAATGGTAGCGGTCATGCCTGCCCTCATTGAACATCTTTATCTTTATATCTTTATCTTTATTAGTTTTTATGTCTGTTAACGTAATGTGTGCACGGCAACTAGTTTGTATGGGGAAATTCATAGAACCTAGGCCTAGGTCTATTCTCTTTTCAAATTGGCACCTGTCGGAGGTATTAAACAAGTTAACGAGTGTGGGGGATGGGTAACTCTGACATTGGCTTTGGTGAAACATGGCTGCTGTAACGAAATGGAGGAAAACCGACTAGGCGATATTAAAGTAGGTATCTTAGTATCAATTCTGCCATGCTGAGGTTCAGCAGTGTACTTTAACGTCATGTTCAGCTGTTCCCATTATGGAGGTGATTATGGTCTGTTCAAATTAACCCCTTTGGGGGAAAAAAGTAATGTTGTTAATGTTTTTTTTTTTATATACAGTCCGTGACTTTTGGGGGAGCCTACTACTTAATAAGAAACACACTCGATTTTTGAGTATTTATTGATTGATTGATTTATTTTTTTGCTTTGTTTTTTTTTTTCGGTAAGACATGCTTGTTCTTTCGTGCACGTCCACTGCGCACAGCTCCATGGACCTGCTTCTCCCGCAGCAACATGCTACCCGACTCTCACTCGCCTTTCCGAGTTTGGATAGACGTTGCCTCCGAGATGTAGAATGTGTATTGTAGATGAGAAACACACATTTTAGGATCACTGACTTGTATCAGAGCAGACATGGCCTGCGATTTTAAAAAAATTTATAAGGAGGGCAATACCAATATTTGACAGTAATATTCTCAGCTGTCGTTGTTGCTAGGCTTTCAGTGTTTTCCATTAATTAACTCGTATGGGTCCGCCACAGTCTGTCACAGGGAAAAAAAAAAATATACCGTCTCTCATATCTCTCTGTCAGCCCCTCCTTCCCTGCACTCTCTCGCGCGTAGGCTCACGCACTTACACACACAAACACGGGCACATGGACAGGTTGCGCTGTAATGGTGATAAACATTTAATACACCGCGATCGCACCACCCCCCCCACCCGTCGGACGGTCCGATCGCACCCCTAGCCTCCTGAAAACCTGTTGGAAACACTGCCTTTAGTTCATTATCAACTATAGCTCTTTTTAACATTTATTTATTTTTTCTGTGTAGATATCCTCCATCCAAGACCAATATTTGATATAAGGTATGTCTCTGGGTGCTGTGTCAAAGGCTCTGTAGTTGTGGTGAGTATTACTATTCACTTGCTTTTGTTGGTTTACTGGATGTGTTTAAACAAGAATGAATGGATTTCTCATGATTATGATGATATTATTTTCAAAAATATTGTAATGATAATTGCTGTAAATCCTACTGTCTTTAAGGGTGTAATGTTTATTTTTTGTTGAAACTATTTTGGAGAAGTGTTTCTAATAATTAGTCTGTCAGGATTTCACAAAATAATTTAACGGCACCACAATTAAACCACATAAAATGGCTGTGATTGTAATTTTTTGTAATTTTTTCAACAATTACTAAACTATATTGCTTTAACTTTTATGATGGTAAGATTTATTGATTTCTGGATTAGACTGCATTGGTTTAACATAAGAGTGTTCCCTAATAAACTGGCAAGATTATGCATTTTTAAATTATGGTTATTTATAATATATAATTATGGTTTTAAATTATGATTTGCTCTATTTCTGTAGGATGTGTGTCAGTGAGTTGAACTTCCATTTGTTTGTCTCTCTTTCTCTAGTGAATGTGGCAGTGTAAAGGGTGTTCAGTCGCTGTGCAAAGTAGGTCTGAATTACTTCACCATTATAAACTCAAACACCCACATTTTGGACGCACCATAAATTATCCATGTACGTATTCTAAATGTCCCTGTACATTTAAGACATGGAATGCTTTAATCATCCATCAAAGTAGAGTGCATTCCACACAAGATAATCAGACACGAAAAGAGTTGTCCATTTTCAGCTGTCACTTATGTGCATGCAAAAATTTAGCTAATGAAAGGGAGTTTTTTGTTCATATCAACACACATCTGAAGAAAAATGAAAATGTAGGTTGCATGTTCGTTGGCTGTAGTTTTCAAACAAGTATTTATGGAACCTTTAAGTCTCATAAGAGTCGCCGGCACACACCTCACACATTATCTGATTTTCTACCAGGTATTGTAAAAACAACTACAATAGCATCTCCACCATTAGATGATTTGTTTGCTGATAGCCAGGATGAGGAGTGTGTGTTAGAGGAAGTTTCTGATTCTTCACGAGATCAACACAATGCACTTCCAAGTGCAATTGAGCAGCAGCTTGCAGCAGCCTTACTAAAGTTGGAATATTTAGTCCACGTGCCAGGTACAGCAATTGATGATTTTTTGCAAGAACTTTACTACTTGATAAACATAGCATCAGTCACAGTATCTAGAAGTGTTGTGACAGATGTCCTTAAGCATCACAAAATACAAGTTGATGACTCTGTAGTTACAGAAATCACCACAGCAGTATGCTCATCTAACCCTGTTCCAAAAGCAATTGAAAAAGGCGGCCCTCTTAGTACTTCATATCAACGTAAACAATTTTATAAGGAAAAATTCTGTGTTGTGGAACCAGTTACTTACATACTTGATCATAAAAAGAAACACACCTTTCAGTATGTCCCACTGTTGAAATCTTTGCAACAAATTTTAAATAATAAGGCCATTGTTGATAAGATAATTGAAAATCATAGAGGACAGCAGGACACTGAACTTGACCCATCTCTTGAATTCAGGTCCCCTGAAGATGGTTTGCATTTTAACGCAAACAGCTTCCTAAATTCAGAGGAGTTACGGATAACACTGCGTCTGTATGTGGATGATTTTGAGACCTGCAATCCCCTAGGCACCTCTAGGAAAAAACACAAGCTTTGTGGTGTTTACTGGATACTAGGTAACCTGCCACCAGGCTCCCACTCATCTTTATCATCTATTTATCTTGCAGTGCTTTGCAAAAGTGTTGATGTAAAAACATATGGTTATGAAACAGTCTTGGAACCCCTTCTTCAAGATATTAAAATTCTCGAGGACTATGGTGTGTATGTGCCTTTATTAGGTAAGTCTCTTAAAGGTACAGTACTGAGTATTGTGGCTGACAACCTGGGCGCGCATGGTATTGCAGGGTTCATAGAAAATTTTTCTGGTGATTACGTTTGTCGCTTTTGCACAGCAAAGAGTTGTGATTTCAGGAATCAGTGTGTTGCTACCGGTGCTTTCAGCCTTAGAACTAGAGCTGGCCATGCAGATCATGTAAAATCATCTTGTGAGAAGGGTACACATTGCTTTGGAGTTAAGAGAGAGTGCATTTTTACCAAAACTCTGTCTCATTTTCATGTTGTCTCCGGTTTTCCGCCTGATGTTGCTCATGATATATTTGAGGGCATTGTGCCTGTTGAGCTGGCCCACTGCTTGGCATTAATGATATCAAAGAAGTTATTTACATTAGATGAACTAAATAGAGCTATACTGACTTTCCCCTATAAATGGTCCGACAAAACAAACAAGCCACATATTGTACCACAAAGTTTCTTGGGTCGGAAAACTATCGGTGGCAACGCTCATGAAAACTGGAGCCTACTGAGGCTGCTCCCATTTGTGATAGGTCCCCTTGTCCCAGAAAATGAGCCAGCATGGCTTGTGTTGATGGATTTAAAAGATATTGTGCAGTTAGTTGTTGCTCCTGTGCATACAGATGAATCCATCTCATACCTTGAAAGCAAAATTGTTGAGCACAGACAGAGGTACCAAGACCTGTTCCCTGGTGTCAGACTTCTACCCAAACACCACTATGTAGAACACTACCCGCAGATGATAAGGTGTTTTGGCCCTCTAGTCACAGTTTGGACAATGAGATTTGAAGCCAAACATAGTTTCTTTAAGAACATTGTTAAACACACAAGTTGCTTTAAGAATGTACCACTGACTTTGGCTTCAAAACATCAAATGATGATTGCATTTCACCTAAACTCACCGTCTTATGGTAAATCTTGCCTAGATGTATCTACTGTCTCCACAGTTCCAGTTGATGTACTGAAGGAGGAAGTAGCTGAGGCTATAAAGCTAAAATGCCCTAGCACATCTGAAGTGCATCTTGCTAAGAATGCATCAAGCAATGGCATAGCCTACAGCAATGGCATGATAGTTGCCCATGGATCAGTAGGTGGATTACCAGAGTTTGCTGAAATTAGTCAGATGTGTGTAATAAATGAGATGTTGTTCCTCATTGTGAAAGTGCTGTGTGGGTGGTACACTGAACACTACAGAGCCTTTGAGCTAAGCTTGTCACCATCCAGAGAAGTAAAACTTGTGGCACTCAGTGAACTCACTGACCCCTATCCACTGGCCTCTTACACTGTTGGATCAAGTCATATGGTAACCTTAAAAAGGCAGATTATCATAAAAGGTTGGTTAACCACCAAAATGGTGATTAATAGTAGGACTGAACAGTTAATTGCAATAAGATATTTTCAGTCCAAAGTAATTGCTCTTTTTTTACACACGTATATTTGGTGATATGGTAATGTGCATGCTGAGTTGTATGTTTTGTTATTTTGTCACAAGACATTTGTCTTTGGAGTCTGTCAATCTGCCTGCATGTGTATCATCACATCTATTTTCTCTTCACATTCAGACTGTATTTTTTTGTGCTTTGTTGCCCATGGGAGTTTCTCTGAAATCTCTTTGTATATCCATTATAGGTCATACTGTATTGCATGCACTGATTTTTGTGGGTCACATCCTAGGCTTCTCATTTGTTTCCACCTCTTTCTAGTTTTCAGGATGAACTTTAAGCTAGTACAGATGGATTTTATCAGGTAGTAGTTGGGCAAATTACAAAATGAAAGTGGGACTAGAATCAATTCTCCAAGGCCTTCTTCAAGGCCAAGTGGTAAACTGAAAATGAGAAACCTAACATCATGTTGCATCAATTAGTGTATTGACACAAGTAAAATACTTGACATAAAACAATAAGCATTAATCTTTTTTCCTTTTTGTCACTTTCCTTCTTTTTACAGACTGAGACGTAGAAGGATGAATGCCCCGACACTTCTCAAAGTCATCCTGGGTGACAACAGCAGCCAAAGGATGACTTTTCAAAATGGACTCCCAGGATCTGTTAATGAACTTGTTAGTGAGGTACAAAGACAATGTGGACTTGACTATGACTTCAGACTTCAGTTTATGGATGCACTATTTGGAAATGACTTCATGAACCTCACTTCAATGGATGAAGTACAGGATAGAGGGACAATTAGAGTGATTGCCATGACAGATTCCTCAACTCCTCAGTGTGCTAATATCCTTCCCACCTCAGCTGCCCATCACTCCCTTAATGAATCCTCATCCCTGTCCAGTGGATGTGTTGACACTGACATACTCTCTTCACCGGAGTCAGAGTCATCCGGCTCTCGGTCATCTTGGCCGAGCATCTTTCGTGTTCCTCAGTTTAGTTATGATGCTGAGTTGAAACTTGCGCAGGGCAATGCAGCTTACAGGGAAAAGGGTACATTGTTTATTCCTGATCCTAAACTGAAGTCGAACATTCTTGAGGGCCTAGTGCAAGAAATTGTTAAGTACAAACTTTATGTTTCTGACAAAGACTTTAACACAGTTGGAGAGGCTCTAATCTCAAAGCATCCTTGCCTGACTGAGAAAGGCTCCCTCTCTGGATATGCTGGATGGAAATGCAGCTTGAAGAACAAACTGGCAATCTACCGCACTCACCTAAGAAAGCTTGGATGTCCTGAGGTGACAATAAACTCACTCAAGCACAAACCAGAGGGCAAATCAAGCCCTGCTTTTGGCATTAAAAAACCAAGAAGGTCTGAAGTGAACTACTGTCCCCCCTATCCTACTGGAGAATCTGAGAAGAGTCTTGAGAGTGTGAGAATGGAGCTTCTTTCAGATGTTAAGAAGAAGAACAACAGGGAAGCAGTAAGGATGAAAATGGAAAAGACATTTGCATATAGGAGACAGGAAGTGGTTCGCGACACACCAATGATAAGAGACTTCCAGACGAGATGGCCAGCACTTTTTGAAGTAGGCGAGGTATGTGATTTATTCTCTCTCTCTCTCTCACTCACTCACTCACTCACACTCTCTCTCTCACACATTACAAACTAAAATTAAATCTGTATGATTCCTATCTGTTGATTTACCTTAATTTGACAAAGTCATGTAACTTACCTGCTGGCTGCTTAGCAGACCCTCTCCCCAAACTAAATCAATTGTTAATCCTTAAGTGTTCTTGGGGATATTTCCAGCCACCCTGTTGTTTATTTTTTAAGCCATTTTGGCTGTGTTGAATGAATATAGCTAAAATTTGCAAGAAAATTAAAAAAAAATAATAATTGAAATTGAAATCTCAGTACCTTAATTAAGCCTAAAATGGCAATGCTATCAAAATCCAGGCTTAAATGTTCCTAGCGCCAAAACCTGCCCCATTGAAACCCATTAAAACAACTTTTTTTTGATCCCACGTTTATCCTAACATAACATCTCGCACAGTATGGTAAACATACTGGCATTTAAAGGGTTAAAAACAAAAATATATAATTAATATTTTATATGTATATTTCAGGCTGAAGTAGTTCTAAAAGACTGGCGTGTTTAAGTCGAAAAAAATATCAATATATACTATTTTTTTTATAGCAGTTTATGGGAACAAGCCACGTTTTGGCTTTAGGAACATCCACAAAGTAAATAAGTTAAGAACACTTAAGGGTCACCAAGTTTCAGCCGGAAAATATTTGGAGGGTATAGATGATTTTTTAAAAAGTATGATCATGACATAATATAACTAGAAAATAAAGCAATAAAACAAGGAACTTTTTGAATTATTCTGCTCCTGTACAAATGTTCTAATTTAATTTTAACTTACTGTTGGTCATGGTTACTTGATTGGTGTTCGTTTTTTTATTTATTTTTTTATTAATTGCTGCCATATTGCATGTTGTCTGTAATCATTCTAATTTTCAGATAAATGCTGAATTCAAACGGATCACAACAATGCCCCTGCAGTCCAGATTTCTATCGCAATTAGATGTTCACTCCGAGAAACTGCTCAAAATGTTTAAAAACAGAGGAGGACAGATTGGCAGACGCCTAGGGGGCATCATTGCACCCATGGATGAAGTAAGTATACTCTCTGGGGGACAAACTCAAACTTACACAGACAAACTCAAGCAAAACAACTTGTGCTTCTGTTTTTCTGCCTCAGGATGATGACGTGGATCTGGGAAGAGAATGTGTCATAAAGGCACTCTGCGTTTACCTGAACGAGGACCCAGAGAATCTATTGAGAGAGTATGTGGTAAGTATTACTTAGGTTTAGTATGTTGATGTTATCTTTCATATTTTGTATAAGCTTTAAAACATCTACCCATTGTAATTACTTTACAGTCAGCTAACTTGTAAGATAATATGGTAGTGATCTTAATCTATACAAGTAGTTCCGACCAAGCAATCTGATTGTTCAACAAGACATTTAGAACGTGCTCAAATCAGCATAACAGCACGCCTGACTCAAAACTAACAATATTATTCCGCCATCTCATGTTGTTGTATCCATCTCCATGATAACCATCCATGATTCTTATTTTTATTTTTTAGAAACATTGTTACTCGTGAAAAAAAAATCTAACTAAATCAACCTCCTGTAGAGTGTAAAAAGAATGCACACTCGCAAAAACCTTTTTAAATTTGAGAGCAAATTGTCCATCAAAATGAATATATTTTGATACATTTTATTTTGTTGGTAATAGTTGTATAATCGCAATATTACCCGAGAGGGTGTACTTAAACGTCATTTGAGCATGACAGTGATGCGCTCAGGAGCAAGCGCCTCGGTCCCTACCCTCTTGGGTAATATTGCTTAAATCAAAGTGTGTGTTATGTGTGTGGTTTTCAGCCTCTATGAGCCACTTTGTGTTACTTTCTGTATGAAAGTGCCATATAAATAAAGTTTGATTTGATATCTTAATAAATTACTCAATACAGATATGCAGTGGTCCGTGTATGTTTTGGTCATTGGATTTTCCTTTCAGAAACGGGTATTAAAAAACAGAAAACGAGTGGTTATTTGATTTTCGTTTTAGAATACAAAAATTAAAATTGAAATACAAGGCGTTTTTCTTTTTCATGGTCAAAAAGGGATGAGCAAAATTTTAAAAAATATTCGATTTACATTTTCTATTTCATATAACAAAAAATAAAATCACTAGAAAACAGAAACAGAAAAAAGGCCTGTTTTTTCATATTCTGAGACCGGATGTTGTCATTAACAGGACGGTGCTGTGGAGAAGAAACAGTAGGCTAGTAGACTGCGGTCAATCCAGCCGTGAGTCCGATCTCCGTGGTCATATCAGCCGCACTTAAATTTAGTGTACAATTATTCTCAGCATTATGGTAAATGCGGAGAAACAGCGTATTTACTTCCGGTTTTCAAAATAAAGGTATTTAGAACAGTAAGCTATAATTAAAATATGTTACATTAAAGTGTTTCATGCGCCTCTGATGAATAAAAAAACACTTTATATCAAGTATCTTTACTGCACCAGTGTGGAGAAATGCAAAAATAAAAGCCTCATATGTATGCCTCCAGAGATTGCATATTTGACCATATTTGAGGTACTGTAAAAACATATTGCTCAGTGTTTCCTGGCTACTGATGGTATATTTGACTTTTATACATGTGAGATTACAAGCATACTTAATATCAAGCATTTTTACTGTACCAATTTGAGAAATTCAACAATAAAAGTCCATATTTGTACCTCCAAGTGGTATGTTCATATATTTGAGCTACTGTAAAAACACTTTGCTCAATACCTGGCTATGGGTGAAGTATTTTCATTATACTTCAATAATGATGCAGTAATCATGACAAAATTTCACACAAATGTTTAATAACATTTTATAAAAAAAATATAATATAAAGACTATTTATTTTGGCATTTCTCCACACTGGTGCAGTATACTTGATATAAAGTGTTTTTTATTCATCAGGGGCGCATGAAACACTTTAATGTAACATATTTTATTTTAAATGTAGGTTCGAATTATAGCTTACTGTTCTAAATACCTTTATTTTGAAAACCGGAAGTAAATACGCTGTTTCTCCGCACTCTAAATTTAAGTGCGGCTGATTTGACCACGGAGATCGGACTCACGGCTGGATTGACCGCAGTCTACTAGCCTACTGTTTCTTCTACACAGCACCGTCCTGTAAATGACAACATCCGGTCTCAGAATATGAAACAACAGGCCTTTTTTCTGTTTCTGTTTTCTAGTGATTTTATTTTTTGTTATATGAAATAGAAAATGAAAATCGAATAATTTTTTTAATTTCGCTCATCCCTTTCTGACCATGAAAAAGAAAAACGCCTTGTATTTCAATTTAAATTTTTTGTATTTTAAAACGAAAATCAAATAACCACTCGTTTTCTGTTTTTTAATTCCCGTTTCTGAAAGGAAAATCCAATGACCAAAACATACACGGACCTGCAGTATTCCCTATATGGATGTGGCATGTAGTGTAATCACACTTTGATTCTTTTTGTGTATTGTACAGGCAGCAGATGAATCCCTCCTCCAGGAATCCATTGAGGAAACCACTATGGGTATATACGTCTGGAAACACAGAGATGACAGTGAAAAACCAGAGGACATTGGCATTGTCCTCGAGTCCCAGATTGTGATGCAGGATATGGACAGTGTTCCCTTAGCTGCTGCCATGTTGTTTGGCCTAATATATTCTTTGAACTTAAACTACCCTGCTGAACTCAAGTATACCTTTGAAGTGCTGCAGAAGGTGGTCATGGAGCTTGAAGGCAATGCACTGTCCAAAAAAGCCCAAGTCCTGAAGAACAGACTTTATCAGTGAACTGGCTATCCAGGCTCTCGAGCTTGATTTCTTAAGACATACATTATGTCACCTACCTCTTCCAGGTGTTGGACTTTTCTTTTGGGCGGGTAGGAGGCTTTTTGTTTTTTTTTTAAATGGAACTATAACATAATTTCCCCCCCCTTTTTTTAGAGTTTGGGGTGATTTTTGTTTACTGTGAACATTGAAAAAATTATAGTGGCTTGTTTACGATTACCAGTGTTCACATTATGGAACACCCTGTGGTCATGGTCAGGCTGTGTGCTATGTACCATAGAGCAAAAGGACAGGTGTGTATTCAAATGAAAATTCTCTGTCAGTGTGTTGTATGTACATAGATGAGTTTTAATGTGTGGTGACCGTAGCTTTGGCTTCAGGTTCTGCTAAATGGTGTGCACAAATCTCCCTCTGTTATCCACACGAACCTGCACACATTTCTGACTCCAGGGACTCTTCTTTGTTGAAGGAAAAAAAGGCTATCCAACTTGTTTGCTTGATTTCTTAAGACATGCATTATGTCACCATCTACCTCTTCCAGTTGTTGGACTTTTCTTTTGGGTGGGTAGGAGGCTTTTTTTTTTTTTTTTTTTTTAAATGGAACTATAACATAATTCCCCCCCCATTTTTAGAGTTTGGGGTGATTTTTGTTTACTGTGGACACTGGTAATTGCAAACAAGCCACTATAATTGTTTCAATGTTCACATTATGGAACATCCTGTGGTCACTGTAGCTTTGGCTTCGGGTTTTGGTTCACCAATAATGTTCTGTCTTTGTTGGGGAGAAAAAAAGGTATTTTTCTGGTAATACTGTATGCATTATTTCATCTACCTCTTACAATTGTTTGATTTATTTGGGTGAGTGGGAGGCTTCTTTTTCCACTATTTTTTTATCAAACTGAAACAGACTACTACCCCTATTTTTAGGGTTTGGGGTGATTTTTCTTTAACTGCCGTTCCTTCTTGATGCTTGAAACAATGTTCTAATAAATATAAATGGAAATTTTCAATTAAATAGTGTTTACTTTGTTTTTTCACTGAATTGTCAATATATATGATTTCCCAGGTAGTACACAGCAAGTTGTATTTTTAGTCATTACGGATGTTTGTTATGCACTGTCTGGAGTTAATAATTGAAGATATGTCGGCCTATTACCACGTCCTTTTTTATTTTCCGTAAAAGATTCGGCTTGATTAAGTGGGGTTGGGGGGTGTAAAAATTAATTTCTTAAATTACCAATCATCTTATAAAAGTAATTTAAATATTTAAAGTATACCAAACTTAATAGTGTCCAATTTACCTGTGGAAGTTAGGTTAGCTTCACGCAAAAAAATTATGTTGGTCCAACTGATGATAATTAAATATCATACACATTAAAGAATAGCGTTCATTTAACATAAAAAAATCAGTCAGTTTAGCAGAAGATAATCTAATATACTTAACATCAAATAAATATTTTAAATTTATGTAAGAAAGTCATGTTGGTTTAACGAATAATAATTTAATGTACAGAACATGAATATATCAATTTGAGTAAACATAACTTTATTATGTGCAACCGATGTCCATAATTTTTTTATGTAAATCCAAAAGACTTTTTTTTTCAGTGTATGCACAAATTTTGTGCATACACAACGTTTAGTACATGATGCCCTTGGTCTCTGTGTTAAACACTAATACAGAAATGAGAATTTTAGATCTTGAACACTACCTCAACACTACAATTACTGTACAAAACGCTTTCACACACCTGAGGCTTTCAGTATTTGCAGAGCAAAATGTTTGCGCTGCAGTGCCATTTCTTGGTGTTGTTCCAAAAGCCATTTTTGGAGGTTGTGGAAAGCCTTCCGTGATTGCCTTCGCCATCTAAACAATGACACAATATGTGATGTGTATCTAATAACAAAATGGTGAAATGTTAAGATTTTAAATAGTTGTCCTCCAAATATTTTAATCTTAAATTTTAATCTTACCATTAAAATTTACCACCACAACTGCTTGTGTCCTGTCCATGAATGTACTTACACATACAATATAAGACAACCAACAGTGTTGTCTTCATAATAACTTGACATGATTGTGTTGACCACAGGTTTATGGATCGGATCCTGAAAGACTGAACAACATGTTGCACTATATAAAGCCATTGCATCAATGGGTCACCTCCAAAAGTGCTTTATATGCCCTTTTTGGCTTCATATGACATCTTGGGGCACATTTGTCAATGATCCTTACCTGCAACCATAGGAAACACAAAAAATGTAATTCAAAATGTACATACACTTTATATTATACAGATGTATTCACTACTAACCAGAAAATTCCAATGTACATTTCTGATATTGACAAAGACTCAATGGCTTTATAGCTGTCAAAGTTGACCTGTAACAGAACAATTTACAATATGAAAATCTTTTTTATCAAAACATTACAATGTAAAACATAATTATTATTTTTCAACATAGTTAAAAAAAAAAAACATTTGCACATACAGTCACAAACATCTTTCCTCCACTGACATTTAAAAATGTTTTAAAATGTTTATCTCTGGTGTATGAGAAAGCTGTTTCCTCTTGACTGAGAGGGCACCACAGAAACAACCACTTCCAGCCACAACCATACCTTTCCACAATACAGTAAGCTGAGGCTAAAAAAAAAAAGAAATTGTTCAAAGTGGGACAGAAAAAGAAATTCTTGAGTGATGACAACATAAACATAGGCAATTTAATAACACAATTGTGGAGGTGGGTGTGGTTTACAATCAGCTGCAGGAGAGAGAGGTGTGGGGAAGGCTTGTGAGAGCAGCACCAGGTGAATTGATTACCTCAGCTGCTAATCGTTGCCTAATCACTCTAACCCTTTATCTTGCAGTAGTGTGCTGGACCTGGGGCTGGAGACTCTGCTGAGAGCGAGAGCCGCAGAATAGCGGAACAGATTTTGCGTGTTTGTAGCAGCGAGGCTACAATAAAAGTTACTTGAACCAACCACCTGGTCCGAGAGTTTGTGTGCTGCCAGGACTCACGGTTGTAGCAAGACTTGCTATCCTTCGAATAATCTTTGTATATCATAGGTGCTAAGACCTCTTGGTTTCGGCACCATCCAGAGGTCCATCTCAGGACCTGAGAAATAATAATAGAGGGTGTTTTAGAATACGACACTGTATATGTGTCCACAGGCTGTGAGAGAGAGGGTTAAGTTGGGAGGAGAGGGGTTAGAATTAGAAAAGTGAATGGAGAAGGAGAGATCCTCATCTGAGTGACAGGATAAAAGAGGGGAGGATATATATATGCTGCCAGTGAGGGGCAAATACAACTGCATCCAGTGAGGATCCTTGGGGCAAGATCCTTAATGTATCAGGCCTACCTCAGCAACATGAGAGTACAGACAAATGATAGTCACACCGGCTCGGATGTCGCCCGGGTCAACAAGGTCCGCATCAGGTGCTAGGGAACCAGACATAGATGGACAAGGGTGGAAAACACGGAACTGTTGGAATGCTACTATATGAGCAACCCCAGAGAGAAGGGATACATGCAGCGAATGTGGGACCAATGGTTACCTCGAAACCCACAATCAAGGCTAACAACGAAACAGCTGTTAGCCCAGTGTTCCAACATCCGCAATCGAAAACTTATATCACAACTAGATCGCTGAGACAACAACGATGCTACGGCAAGGGGGCGCCAGGACGACAGGTCAGCAGGGGGAAGCCTGCACCACAGAATCCACTGAATTGGTGAGATCCTCCTCACTGTGCTGGTCAACCTTACAACCCTCGCCATCCCAGTTTCCCCCATCGCCAATGCTGTTCCGGCATCCTCATCTCTCTCTGTGAGTGCCCAAAGAAGAAGGAAGAGATGGATGGCACAGGACGACTCTGTGATGGCAGCACATCTCAAGGAGCACAGGGAGAAGATGTGGGCTGAATACAGAGAGGACCAGGACAGGTGTTTATGGCTTGCGGTGTCTCCTACGGGGTGTTTTGTTTTTTTTTGTTTTTCCAAAGTCCTTGCGGACTTGATGGAGAGTGTGGATCCACAGGTGCATGACCAGCTGAAGCAGAAACTGTTACAGACTATGTTAGAGCACACCCAACAGCACCTGCGATGAATGTGTGAACTCTAATGCACATTTTAATGCACCTTATTGCTAAGGCTAAACCTTTTTATAGTCTTAGCCTATTAGCACATCTTATAAGCCTTCTGTCTTTATATTTAATTTATTTATATATAATAAAAAATCGTAAAGCATTATCTTTATCTGTTCATTAATAAACCGTGGTTTTACATAAGTGAGTGAAACTATGTGGCTGAAAAACTAGCGTAACATAATAGTCACGTAGTGTTTGTCAGCCCTCTTCTGCTATCTGGTAAACGCAGTGACTCATTTCCGGTTTACTTCTTGCTCTGTGTACACTGTTTGGTGCTGTAGCTCTGTCAGTGAACGCTAAATCTAAATTTGTTTTACTCGTTACAGCGGTTATTTTCCAGCTTAACGATTAAACGTAGACTCGTTCTATCTAAACACTCAGAGTTACTCCTTCTTTTAGCGACTTTTCGCTATTTTCAAAAGTTTTTCATACACGCTAGCTTCATTAACATTAGCAGTTAGCTATGGCCCTCTCCTCTGTCCTGCTCAGTCTGTCAGATGTTCAGTTATTCCTCTGCCTTCTTTAATGATAATGGTATATGTGTTAAGTGCAGTTTATTTACTGCGCTGGAGGCAAGGCTTAGTAAGTTAGAGGAACAGTACCACACCAGAGATATCTTTTAGCCGCTATAGTCAGCCCCCAGTAGCCGGTGTGGTCCGACCGAAGGTAGTTTCTGCTAGCCGTCCTTCGGTAGTTCCTGAGCAGCCGGGAAAACCGGGACAGTGGGTGAATGTTCGGAGGAAGACTAAAACGCTGAAGCCCACAGTTCACCACAAACCCGTTCACGTTTCCAATAAATTTTCCCCACTCAGCGACACCCGCTGAGGAACCAACTCTGATTATTGGCAGCTCCATAGTCAGAAACGTGAAGTTAACGAAGCCAGCGGCCATAGTTAAATGTATCCCTGGGGCCAGAGCAGGCGACATTTAATCCTATTTAAAACTGCTGGCTAAAGAGAAACGTAAATATAGTAAGATTGTTATCCACGTCGGCGGTAATGACACCCGTCTACGCCAATTGGAGGTCACTAAAATGAATGTGGAGTCGGTGTGTAATTGTGCTAAAACTATGTCGGACTCTGTAGTTTTCTCTGGACCCCTGCCCAATGTGACCAGTGATGACATGTATAGCCACATGTCGTCATTCCACCGCTTGCTGTCAAGGTGGTGTCCAGCAAACGATGTGGGCTCCATTGATAACTGGAAGCCTTTTTGGGGAAAACCTTGGCTGATTAGGAGAGACGGCATCCATCCCACTTTGGACGGAGCGGCTCTCTTATCTAGAAATATGGCGAAGTTTATTTCTAAAACCTGACAGTCCAGAGTTGGGACCAGGAAGCAGAGCTGCTGTCTTACACACTTCTCTGCGCTTTCTTTAGAACAGTCACCCACCCAAAACCCCATAGAGACCGGTCTGTCCCCTGACC